CGAAAAAGGCTCCAGGCTCTGAGCTGGCTGTCAGCACAGAGCCTGACGCAGGGCTCAAAGCCATAAACCATGAGATCATGACCTGAGCCAAAGTCAGATGCCCTATCGACTGAGCCACCCAGGTGCCCCCAAAATTTTTTAAATCAATAAACAGAACACTGTATGTTAACTACACTGGAATTTAAAAACAAAACAAAACAAAACGGGGGTACCTGGGTGGCTCAGTCGGTTGAGCTTCCAACTTCAGCTCAGGTTGTGATCTCACAGTTTTTGTGGGTTCAAGCCCCACATTGGGCTCTGTGCTCCATCTCTCTCTTTCAAAAATAAATAAATATTTTAAAAATTTTTAATTAAAAAACATTGTTGTAGGAGCCACTGACACTTTAGAAATCAGAAGATAATCTGATCAGCTCTGTGTCCCAGAAAGATAACTCTGCTTGTCCCCAAATGCTAACCCATTATTGTGTTTTTACCATAGGCTGCATTAAAAATTGGTCAGCATTTCTTTATCTTATTTTCACAGTAATACATTGTCACCTGACAGTCTGTATAATGAACATAAGCTAGAGATTACAAATTTGGCAGAAAAGGGAATTGTAATTAAATACCAGTTTAGTACAAGGACCGCATCATAGCTACCAGACCTAGTTTTCAAGGGAAGTAAATTTACATGGAATAATAAAGTCCCTCCCCTAGAAGCTATGATGTAACATTTGAAAAACACATGAACTTACATCAAAAGTCATTAGCATGGTAATATAAGTGAATTCTGCAGGTACCTTCAGAAACTATATATAGGATTCTATTTAATAAAGAATTACTTTGGGGGCACCTGAGTGGCTCAGTAGGTTAAGCATCTGACTCTTGATCTCAGCTCAGGTCTCTATCTCAGGGTCATGAGTGCAAGCCCTATGCTGGGCTCCATGCTGGATGTGAAGCCTATTTAAAAATAAATAAATAAAAACTAAAATAAAGAATGACTTTGAAGGAGGCTTATGAGTTTAGACGTACTATTTTCTGTGAGTAAGATATACACACTTTTCTAAAAGTACAGCTCTATAACACAATCACACTTGAGCCACAAATAGCTTTTGATTTTTAAGCTTTGTAGTTCATTGCCACAACACCATCAGTGGCCACTTCATTTTAATTCTTCTCATTAATGCTAGTTTAGTTCATCAAGGGACTGAGATGTCATGATAATAACGGACCAGACCAAAAGCACACTGGTTTCATGAAGTTCCTCACATTTCATAAGGTTTTGTTGTAATAACATTTCAGGATGCATTGGGCCCTAAGAATTGATGAAAGTGATCACAACATTTTAAAGCCCTCCGTTTAGGTCTGATTATTGGAGCACACTGACTGGATTAATATTTAACAGCGGCTGTCCTACGGATTCAATGAAGAAGTTGTGAGATAACGATTTCATTCTTCTTCACTCGACTGGCCTTGTTGCACAGTTAATTAAGACCTGCTGAACTTAGAAATAGGGCCTGGGAAGGGAAAGCCTTTTAAATAATGCAAATAGAATAGCGAATTTATTTTCACAACTGAAATAGCTGGTTTTCCCTGGTTTGGATTAGTGAGATCAGATTTGATATTGCTTGCTGGGTAGAGAACTAATATGAAGAAACAACTCCTTTTCTGGACTGTAATCTGAGTTTTTAAGTTACTACATGCTATTAAAGAGCTGAGCTTGTAGATTAAATTTACATGCAGTTCCCTTTTTCATAATTTTCTCTAATTATCAAATGTACATAGAGAGACATATAACACATGTGTACATTTTAAAGAATGATTATAATGTGAACACTCAGGTAACCACCACTCAAATAAAGAAAAATTACCAGCATTCCAGAAGCCCCACCCTCACCATGTGCTCTATCCAGATGGTGAACTCCTTTCTCCTCCGGGTAGCTACTACTATCTTTACTTTTGTCGTTTTCTTGCTTCTCTTTGTAATGTAGCAACTTACATTTGTATCCTAACAGGTTATAGTTTAGGTTTGCCAGGTTTTGAACTTTTATGAATAGAATCATGTTATGTGCTCTTGTGTCTGGCATCTTTCACTCAGTGTTACATTTCTGAGATTTTTCTCTGTGTTTTTGCTATCCAGTGCAATTTCTTTAAAAAGGCTTTTCTATATTTTCTCCTCTCCCTTTTTTACTTAGGATCCCTGTAACTCTAAATGCTTTCAGATATTCCTCCTTTGCCTTCTTGGATTTTCTGCTAAATAAGGTTTAAAGACTCAAAGTTGTCTGGACCCCAGTTTTGTGAACCAAGCCGACTGCCCCAGTTTGATGCCATTCGTTTAGATGAGACTACATCTTTAAGGCTTCTGTGCTCTGTTAAAAATCTTCCTTTCTCCAAGGCTGGTCCAAGGGTCTGGTCACGTGACTCCACCAGTGACATCACATTCTGACCGCGGGGAACACTGGTGGTTCTTTAGGTGGCCTTTGTTCCTGAGAAAGGCAGAGAACGCAGCAAGTGCCCTTCTAAAGCAGTTCATACCGGGGCTCCTTCTGTAAAAGCTCCTCAACATAAATGACCAAATGCGGGCTGCCAAGGTTATTTCTTCCTTGAGGCAGAAAAAAAGAAAGCTGTGATTGAAGGTAAGCAGACTTGAGCCCAGCCAAGGACTGAAGTGTGACCCCAGGGAGAAGGGGATCTGGAGAATCACAAGCAGTCTGTTGTTGGCTTCTAATCACTGCCTGCTGTTTCAGAGCTGCCTGACAATTTGCATTTCTAACAGGAGATTATCTACAAAGAAGGATGATGCAGTGCTCCTGTTACCTAGTGATGTAATAAGATTCTTTCTTTCCTGTTAGGAAGCTGTTGCAGATCTTCATTTTGTCTTAATATCCTTAGAGCTGGGGGCCTCATTTGCTATACGGTGTAACATTAGATAGCTATTGAATACTTTTAAAAATCAGTTTCACAAAATCCGTCTTAAATTTTTCCTGAAAGGAGAGCCCTTAAACCAGAGAAAATTTATTTGGAGCATTAACCTGCTTTAAAAAGTAAATTTCTGGTTGTTTGGTGTCCTGTGTTCATGTCAGCATTTGTCTTGAAAATTGAAACAGCTGGGTGTGTTTTTGTTTGTTTGTTTTTGTTTTTTGCCCCTCTCACCATACTTTACTTCTTTTCTGCCCTCATTTCCTAGCTGGCTGTTTCCCTCCAAGCTCTCAAACACCCAGCATTAATCTTTATCAATATGCCACTGACATGATAGGAAATGCTGGGCTGGTGATTCAGCAGCCAACCATTTTACAGCCAGGTAGGCTTGGAAAGGACTTTGGTTAGGGGTTTTAAGATTAACTTGTTCACCTCCTCCACTCCTGCCCCACCCCCACCCTCAATATGATTTAGATTCTGTAGAATTCTGTAGATTCTGTAGAGCTTTTCCTTGTGTTGCTGGTGAAAGGTACCCTGAATTAGGTATTCGGAAGACTTAATGATTTATAAATCAGGTACAGCTTGGGTGTTAATTCTCACTCACCCTATGAGAGTGCTGAAGTTGTCTGTAGTAGTTTAGAGTGAAGATGGGGATGCAGATGGAGGGGGGATGGGTGGCAGCTCGGGCCTACTTTGGCCTTCTTTGCAGAGGGATCCATCACCAAACAGTCTGGATAAAGCTTTGTCGCTGCCAAGGTTGATGCTGCAAATGTGAGCTTTGGCTGGTTGAGTTCAATGATAGCATTACTCTGCGTTTTCCCTTAGTGTGCATTTGCATAAATTCCTGAATGCTTTTTGTGTTTAATAGGGAAATACTGTGTCACCAGAGGATGGTGGAAGTATTTTGAACAAGTTTGTCAAGGAGTACTGAGTAACGTTATGTGTGTGCAACTTCTGAGTTTGAATACTTCTGGTTCATCCCCACAGTTCAGCGAATAAACCTTGATTCCACTGATATTAATTGAATCTTGGATATGTGTTAGACATGAGAAGGCAATGATAACTCAGATATGGGGCTGCCCTCAAAGAGCTTCCAGTCTAGGGAGGAAGACAAAACATTTGCATAAGTAATTATGACAGAAGAGCTAACAGCAAAGCAGATAAAGGACTGTGGTTGGGCAAGTGATTATGTTTCTTCCATTGAAGGATCAGGGATGGACATTTCATAACCAAGCCATGCAATGGTCTTTAAATCTCTACTTGTAAGTCTTAGACTGTTCTGACATACTCAGTAAAAGTTTCCGTAAGCCCATTACATTAGGGATCAAAGTCTACCTATTGAAAGGAAATATGTACATTCCAGCCAGCTTAACTCTTGAAGAGGCTGGCATGCTTTCTTTGGAGCTCCCACTCTGGCAAAAGTCACCTCTTAGAATTGAATTACTGCCTTACAAATGTAAAATGGTTTCTGACGTGGTATGTCTACAAAGATCTTTGACCCTTTTGTCTTCCTTCCATAACAGAAACTGAAATACCTAAGCTGCTCCAAGCTCCTGCATTTTGTTTCATAAATCCTTTCCCACTGTGCTACAAGTCCTGTCAGCCTCCCTTTGTGCTGTCATGTTCATCTGTTCCTTTCTGTTCATACTGCCTTAAGACACTCATCATTTTGTGCCTAGACCATAGAGACTTCTGAATGTGGTGGATGTTCCCACCAGGTGATTATATGGCTTTATCAGCCCAACCTAACTGTAACCATCTGATGGTTTAAGGACTCACCTTTTGGTAGTCAGAAAGGAGGTAGTAAAATGTTTAGTGTCCAGGGGCACCTGGGTGGCTCAGTCAGTTAAGCGCCCAACTTGATTCCAGCTCAGGTCTTGATCTCATGCTTTGTAAGATCGAGCCCTGTGTGGCGGGGGTTAGGGAGGCTGTCAGTGCAGAGCCTGCTTGGGATTCTGTCTGTCTGTCTGTCTCTCTCTCTCTCTCTGTCTCTGTCTCTCTCTTTCTGCCCCTCCCCTGCTCTCTGTCTCTGGCTCTCAAAATAAACTTTCAAGAAATGTTTAGTGTCTGAAGTACTAATGTTTATTTCCTGTTCAATACAGAGGACAAGTCATACAATGGTGGAGGAATAGGTTCTTCAAATAGGATGATGGACTTCTTGGAGGAGCCAATCCCTGGTGTGGGGACCTATGATGATTTCAATACAATTGATTGGGTGAGGGAGAAGTCTCGAGACCGGGATAGGCACCGAGAGGTAAGACGAAAGAGGGTACATGAGTAAGTGTTAGGAAACAGCAGGGAAAGAAGTTGAAGATCTGTAATTCTTTACATGTATGCTCTCCTTCTGCCCTGGATGTGGCTGAATCTGGTTTCCATTAGCAGTGTGGAGTTTTATTTTCTAATTTATTTTTATTTTTAGGGCATCTTGTCTATGATTTTAAGAAGAATTTATATTTAAAGTTGATTTATATTCCTATAGTAAGTAGTTGAACAGGATCCTTGGCAGCCCTGAAATGGGTATAATTGTCTATGTGAAGAGGTGAAGACATCTTGGTGGAGGGGACCAAAATAAATTTCAGAGATCATCTTCCTCTGTTTCATTTCACTTTTATGGTTTTCCTTTGAAACAGGGTTTTTAGAACTAAGAAAAGAAAGGGGGCTTGTTTTAAAAGAATAAAAGAAAAAAATCACAGACCTGGTGTTTATTGAAGCATATGGGATAAAGTCCTTGCAATTATGGCTCTCAGACAGCTGTAAAAGAAAATGTGTGCATTCAACTGAAACCCCCAAGACCAATCAAATCCAATTTAAGGACATTAATTTAATATGACAGGTAATAGGTGGCACTTATGGCTATGGCACAGATTCTTTAGAATTTGGTGAAGTTCCCCACTTTTCTTTTTTAGGAGTACCACGAAAACTCCCTAAAGCAGTCTGCCAGGGTCATTTGCCTTTAACTTGTTGCTGTGTATCATTTAAATCAGGAAATCAGTTTCTAGCTCATATCAGGGCCACATGGGGAGCTTATGAAAAAGATAGGGCCTCAGCCCCAGTGATCCTGATTCAGTGGGTGATCTGGTGAGACATTTCTTCAACCAACCTTAGGTGTTGATATTTTTTCTTTCATTTTATTTCTGCTCTGAGTCCAAATTTGAAATTTGATTTTTGAGCTGGTCCCTTTCTCTCCTGACTTCGTGGTTCCTTTCTCAGAGCCAGGCAAGTCTCTTAAGCAGTCAGGTTCAGATTGCTTTTAATTCTTAAGCCATTCCCAGCTCCTGACTGGTCTTCTCATGACCACTTGTTGTCCCAGGTACAGGTTTTGAGACATTCCTCTGTAATCCTTGGATTTTCGATAATCTCACGGAGTTTTCTATCCTAACTAAAGGAGAGGGTCTCTACAAAACGCTCATGTTTTTCATAAAGTTTCTGCCGTTTGGGAACACACACATACCTGTCTATCATATCAGTTCATTATGCAGGCTTTAGAATTTTTGCTGTCTGTAATTCAGAGTTCAGTTTGTCATCAGTTGCATATTCAACATGTTATTTACATTGTGAAAGTCACCCATGATATTACAAGGGCATATTTCCCACTATATGAAAATGGCTGCAGCTGAGACACATTATGCCAACTAATGACAATTCAAAATCAATTAGAATGTGGGGCGCCTGGGTGGCTTAGTCGGTTGAGCGTCCGACTTTCGCTTAGGTCATGATCTCGCGGTTCGTGGGTTCGAGCCCCGCGTCGGGCTCTGTGCTGACTGCCAGCTCAGAGCCTGGAGCCTGTTTCAGTCTGTGACTCCCTCTCTCTCTGACCCTCCCCTGCTCACGCTGTCTCTCTCTCTCTCTCTCTCTCTCCTAGAAATAAAAAAAAAAATTAAAAAAAAATCAATTAGAATGTGTTTATCAAGTGTTCGAAAAGGACTTTTTCCTTTGCATGAACCGCTCATCATCAGAATGGAAACACTGTCATTGAAAAATATTACCTCATCTACTTTGGGCACTAAAACTGGAAACTTAAAGTTTCAGGTCAAAATGAATTTTTAAACCGATTTTAAAATTTTTATAATGATTTTATAATGATTTGTGATGTTGCTGTAGATGAAGATGGAGCAGCTAAGTTACAGTTTCAAATATAAGAAGTAGAGGTTCAGAGGGGCGCCTGGGTGGCTCCGTTGGTTGAGCGTCCGACTTCGGCTCAGGTCATGATCTCACAGTTCGTGGGTTCGAGCCCCACGTCAGGCTCTGTGCTGACTGCCAGTTCAGAGCCTGGAGCCTGCTTCGGATTCCATGTCTCCCTCTCTCTCTGACCCTCCCCTGCTCACGCTGTCTCTCTCTCTCTCGGAAATAAATAAAACATTAAAAAAAAGAAATAGAGGTTCAGAAAAGGGGGAGGCCCAATGACAAAGCTGTCAGAATACTTGATTTTGAAATAAATGTGGGCACTGAAGGGTTAAATTGACAGGGCCAGGACCTAAACGGTAAAACTTTCTGCACTTCTTGATAGCCTCAGCTATTCCTAGCAGGTTTTTGAAAATAAAGTGAAGCATCCCTGATACCATTTAATATCTGGAACTTGCCAGCCCTGAAGCACTGCCCTCGACAGCAAGCTTCAGTTTGTCCTTTACTACTCAAATAAGCCCGGGTTTGTTGATTCTTTGCAAAACAATCTAGAGACCATCCTTAGAATATCTGATGTCTGTTGCAGAAAGAGACCACTGCAATAAGCAAAACACATTGACGGGATACAAAATTAGCAGCTGAATGGGGGAATCCCTGACTAAGGTACTTGGAGCCACTACAGTACTGTGGATGAAGGTGGGGTTCAGTAAGACAAGGCTCACTAAGCCTCCCAAGTTCTTGGTGATGTTGGTTCAGCCCAGGATTATTTGAGCAGAAACTCCAAATTGGTCTCTATTCCTGATGAATAGATTTATCTTTGTGCCTCTTCATTGTGTGTTTTAAAGTAAAAAAGCAAGGGTGTGTATAGAGCGTTCTAATTTTTTTCTCATTTCTCCCTAGATTACCAATAAAAGCAAAGAGTCAACATGGGCCTTAATTCACAGTGTGAGCGATGCTTTTTCTGGCTGGTTGTTGATGCTACTTATTGGGCTTTTATCAGGTATGGTAAACTATGTTTGTTTTTTTAAACAGATCTCCTAAAATCATGGTGTGTCCCTCTCCCAGTCCATGAACTGAGTCGAGTGCTGTGCTTTACTATTTGCCTACATGAAATAAATTGCTAGTGGGCCTTTAGGAAGCTTGATGTTCCCATCTGTAAAGGGATACTAATACCTGCATCTCCTTCCTTTAAATGAGGTTAAATGAGGAAATGTATTTAAATGCATTTGTATGCTATAAAATACTGTATCCACTTTAAGGTGCTGTTAGCATGCCTTTCAGTGATTGTCTTGAAGAAGAGCCCTTCTGTTAGAGACAATCATTTTTTTAAAAAATTTTAATGTTTATTTTTGAGACAGAGAGACAGAGCGTGAGTAGGGGAAGTGCAGAGAGAGAGGGAGACGCAGAATCCGAAGCAGGCTCGAGGCTTTGAGCTGTCAGCACAGAGCCCGATGCAGGGCTCAAACTCACTGTGAGATCATGACCTGAGCCGAAGTTGGATGCTTAACCAACTGAGTCACCCAGGTGCCCTGACAATCATTTCTCTCTCTCTCTTTTTTTTTTTTTTAAATGTATAACTACATGACGTTTATAAGAGAAGATATAGAAGAGAACCTCCTGAGAGAACTTGTAGCTATTTCTTAAACATCTGCTCTCTCATTTAGTGTTGAAGAGCAGCATGAAAGATGTGGCTCATATCCTCAAGAAGCTTACAATCTCATTCTTTCATACTGGCTGAGGAGTGGGATGGTCCTACCTTTTCCTATCGTCTCTGTCAACCTCCCAAGCCATTCCAAATACGATCTAACTAGGAATGGTACACTTGAAAGTAGGCTCCAAAGCAGGCTTCCCCTCCCATGGGGGAAGCAGAAAGCCAAGAACACCTGACAGAGATGCTGAGTTGTATACTTGTGGCATTAAAAGATGGGCCTAGGAAGATCTGAAATATTGAGCTGAAAGAGACGTTAAGTGGGAAACTTGGAGGTAGATGGCATGAGATGGCCATTAGCACAGCCTCTACTTTGCAGCTATCTGGATTTGGATCCCAACCCCACTGCTTGCTAGTTTTGTGACTTTTGGAAAGTTTCTTAACCCTTGGAAATTCTAGGGGCTAATAAGAGTTCCTATAGTACATGTTTGTTGTGAGGACAGAAGTAGATAAATGAGATCTAGCACAGGTGGCTCTTAGCACAGTGCTTACAATAGCTTTTTTTTTTTTTTTTTTCTGGCCCACAATTGTTAACAGCACCATGGCTGCCGTTACCTAGAAAAAAATGTATGAGCCATGGAGTAAATATAAATAAATATTATTTACATATATACATAATACACACGTATACATATATATGTGTATATATCATATATGTGTACATGTGTGTACAGACATGTATATGTATGATGACTGCTGCAATGAGGATGGCTCATCCATAGCTGGGTTTTCAAAGATTATCTAGGGAAGGGGTCAGCAATGTCTTTTTGTAAAGGGCCAGATGGTAAATATTTTAGGATTTGTTTGCCAAGTGGTCTCTGTAGCACTAAAGCAGCCACAGACAATAGATAAACAAATGAGCATGGATGAGACCAGGCAAAACTTTATTTATAAGCATAGAGGCAGATTTGACCCTTGGGCCATAATTTCCAACCTGTAGTCTAGGGTGTTAAAGCCACTCCTTCTGGCTCACACAGGAGAGGGGGAATGGTCTGGCCAGTTTATTTTTTATTTTTTAATTTTTTTATTGTTTAGTTATGAGGGAGAGAGAGACAGAGCATGAGCAGGGGAGGGGCAGAGAGGGAGACAAAGAATCTGAAGTAGGCTCCAGGCTCTGACCTGTCAGCACAGAGCCTGATGCGAGGCTCGAACCCATGAACTGTGAGATCATAACCTGATCTCACAGAAGTCGGACACTCAACCAGCTGAGCCACCCAGGAGCCCTTGGTGTGGCCAGTTTAGAGTTGGCTAATAATAGATTGAGTAGTCTATAATGCCAAGTACTGCAGAGAGGCTGCAGATAAGGAAGAGGGCTGAGAAAAGATTATATAGTTTAACAATTGGTAGGATACCAATGACCTTGGAAAGCTATCTCATAAATATTAGGAGTCAGATTTCAAGGGGAAGCAACCAGTGCAGAAATTTTGGAGATATTTGGGAATCATTGGAAGGAGAGAAGGGACAGAAGCTTGAAATGGTAACAAAGACAAGGGGAGGCATTTTATTCCGTAGGGTAGGGGAAACTTGATAAAATTGTAACCAGGGAAGAAGGGACCAATTAGGAAAAGGAGAAGCAATGGCAGTAGAATGGGAGATAGGATTGAGGGTACTACATTAGGTAAAATAAGACATGCATAGGTGAAACAGTGTGGAGAACAAGCCGAACTCTGTAACACATGTTAATTTCTGAATCTGGGTAGTAAGTGCAGCAAGAGTTAGAAGGAGGAGAAGGTAGGCGTGGCCAAGTGGTGTCAAATAGTGTGTTAGATTTGAGTAGGTTATTCAAGTATGTAAATAACCTGTGTTAACACTTTTAGCACCTACCCAAACATACACATAACATGGCCTCCAGTCTGTTGGAATGTAGGTGTAATATCCTCAAGTTTTTAATGTATTTCTTGTCACTAGATGACCAGTGAATACTTTTCTTTCCCTCATACACACAGGGCATTTTGTTTTTAAGCATTGCAGAGCAACAATAGAAGCAGTGTGTCTGAATGCAGGAACAGTCTGGGAATTCAGGGGCTGTGAATTTTATGATGTCTTTGCTATTTCCCTAAAGCATGATTCTAGACCATTTAATTTCTTTATGCCAGAGTTTCTTCCACTGGACTACAGAAATGATGAGAAGACCAGAAGTTTCTATAACTGTCTTAACCCTAACAGTCTATTAACCATAGCACATAAATCCCCGTTCACTATTCATCTTCTCATAATTTTCTTTGATGGATGCATATAATATCATTTGCTCTTTTTCACTAGGAAAACTTCAGAATATTCATGTCCTATAGCTTCATCTAATTTTCCAAGTGCATCACAGCCATCACTTTTACAGATTCAGTTCCCTTAGGCTAGAATGCCTTCCTGCCACTGCTCAGATTCCCTCATCCATGAAGAAAAATTGCTAACAAGGCTGAGCTCTTCTCCCCATAGTCTTCGTCAACTCCCTTCCTTCCCTGAGCCATGTCAAATAAATATCATATAATATTCTTCAATACAGGCAGTCTACATTTTCTCAATCTTATATAATAGTGAGAATAAAATGACCTTTAATAAACTCAACTGTCTCCATGGATCAGTATCTATCAACTGTAAATCAAAGCAGAGTCTTTGCCATGTAAATCAGTTGAAAGGCAAATCTGATGGCCCCTTGCTTCCTCCCCACCACTTTGCCTCCCCCCACGTTCCCTGTATATAGAAATTCTACAGACACGGTGTTTAATGCAGACAATGTTTATTTTTTTTTTTGTATGCTCTTGTACAGGCATGTAATGAAATGTAGTAGGTGAAATCTATTAGAGGAGATAGGTAGAAATTAAACAGACCATCAGAAAGAGGTTGCAGATGGAATGGGGAAAGTTTGATTATCTATTATTTTGATACCCTTTCCCTTGTTTTCTCTGACAACTTTGGCCTTTCCTTCCTTCCCCTCAAATCAGGTTCCTTAGCTGGCTTGATAGACATTTCTGCTCATTGGATGACAGACTTAAAAGAAGGCATATGCACAGAGGGATTCTGGTTTAATCATGAACACTGTTGCTGGAACTCTGAGAATGTTACCTTCGAAGACAGAGACAAATGCCCTGAGTGGAATAGCTGGTCCCAGCTTCTCATCAGCACAGATGAGGTAACGTGTTGTGAAGATTGCAGAACCACCGACTTTTATTCTTTTTTTATTAAAGTTTATTTATTTTAAAAGAGGGAGAGTTCAAGTATGAGTGGGGGACATCCAGAGAGAGAGGAAGAGAGAATCCCAAGCAGGCTCCATGCTATCAGTGCAGAGCCTGACGCAGGGCTCGATCCCACGAACCATGAGATCATGACCTGAGGTCAAGAGTCGGACACTCAACCGACTGAGCCACCCAGGCGCCCCCTCCCCACTCACTTTTATTCTTACATTTGCTTTATTTCTTATAATGTACTCATGGAAATTGTGGACTGTGACCCCATTTTCCTTTTCATGAAAAGGGGAACCAGTGCCAGCTGCCTTTCTCTGTGGTTTAAATGCAGCCCTATTTCCATCTCTTCTGCCATGCGGAATCATTTGATGCTTACTCAGTGACTTAAAATTTTTGCTTTTTTAAAAACAGTCCTGGTGTTTCTTCTCAGTTGTTAGTACACAGTGTGACTGAATCTGTCTTTCTCTAATAATTTCAGTAAAAATGTCAGAACCAGCCAACAGGTACGCTATAATTTCTAACCAAGATGGAGTGGGTTAAAAAATGATGCATTGTATAGACTCCAAAAGTAATTTTCCCCTGAGCATTGCATTAGAACATTTTTTAAAAAGGAATACATTCCATATCAAAATAACAGAAATGCAGGAATAAAATGCCTATAGCCTGCTTTGGAGATTAAATCAATATTTTCATTTGTTCTGGTCTCCTAGCATATATTTTTCAATATAAAAGTAACTTTGTTTTTCAGTTCCTTCCCTTTCTGTTACTACTTGGGTTGTTTGTTAAATCTCTGTTACTAAAAACAAAAACACACAAAACAACTCTCAATTCCCATTTCCATTCTGGCTTCCACCAACTAAAACAGGTACCGTCTCAGCTCACTACTCATTTAGTCTGTTGGCGAAGTGACTGGGACAAGGCTAGGATATTTATTAATACATTTAGAATGCATTTTTATTCCTGCTCTGGTCCTTAGACCATTTGAATTGGTGTGTGTGTGCACATGTACATACACACAGTCAAGGAAAAAGAAGGATAGTAAAATAATAAAATCAGAAATCAGAGTGTTTATGTACCTATATGGCTGTACACATTAGCTTAGGGAAAGAGTTAAATAAAAGGGTTAGACACATACTATATGTGTGAGAGGGTTTAGATCTATCCTTCTCAAACTGGAGTAAGGTCCACGTGCCAGCCAGTAGGTGAAACCACAAAATAAATGCTGTGTGCCTTCTCAGAATATCAAGGGTTTTTTTCCTGAGTATTTTTTTTTTTCAAAAATTACATTTAATTACAAAGGAATGCAGAAGCCCCATGCTCGTTGCGATAAAACAATCTGTGTTTCAGCTCTGCTTCTGAGTGTCCTATCCCCAACCCTCTCTCCTAGATTAGGAGTACTTGGGTAGAAAAGTTTGAAAAGCCCTGGAATTTAGGGTGAGTGTGTGTGTGTGTATGTGTGTGTGTGTGAGATTCCCTTGCCTTTTTTTCACTCCTTTTTTTAAGTAATTATAGATTCACAAGAAGTTGCAAAACAAGGGAGGTCCCCCATATCCTAGACTCAGCCTCTCCCAGTGGTAACATCTTATATAACTATAGTTCAATAGCGAAACAAGGATATGATCCATAGACTTTAGTTTACCAGTTCTACATACACAAATGTGTGTGTGTGTGTGTGTGTGTGTGTGTGTGTATGTAGTTCTCTGCAGTGTTATCACGTGTAGATTTGCATTATCTTCACCATAGTCAATACATAGAAAGAACTATTGTTCCATTACCACAAGGCTTCCCCGTGCTACCCTGTTATAGCCATGTATGTGTGGTGAAGTATTCCAACTGTAGCTTTCTCTTTTTTTAATGTTTTAATGTTTTATTGATTTCTGAGAGAGAGACAGACAGACAGACAGACAGCGTGAGCAGGGGAGGGTCAGAGAGACAGGTAGATACAGAATCTGAAACAGGCTCCAGGCTCTGAGCTAGCTTTCAGCACAGAGCCCGACGCGGGGCTCGAACCCACAAACCATGAGATCATGACCTGAATCGAAGTCCGACGCTTAACTGACTGAGCCACCCAGGCTCCCCTCCAACTGTAGCTTTCAAACTGGAGCTTGAGATTTGCTAAAGTGACAGATTTCTCTGGCTGTCTTTTTTTGGATGAATGAAATCCTTGCCTGGAGAGGGTCTTCTAGATTCTAAGGGTTCTCCTGCAAAGAACTTGGCCTCCAGGTCTCTGCCTGTAGCCAGATTCAGCTACTTGCCTTTCCATTCCCTCTACTTCTCTTGTTTTCCCCCCTGGAGCCTTCTTCCTCCCTAGCTACATTTTAAAGGGCAAGAGAGAGCAATTATCTGTTCCTCTGAGGGACTAAAATAATGAAAAACTTGTGTCAAAGCTATAACTCAGAAGAAAAAAAAAAAAAAGAAACCTGAGAAGTTTGGCTCTCCTTGTCTAGGTCAGTGAATTATTTTAATAATGTTTTATGTTTAAGTCAGAAGTCCAATGAGTTGTATGTTTCATATACTTTGAGTGAGTTTCAACTTCTAATATTTTTATCAGTAAGCATTCTCTCCTAATGTTCAAAATAGTTTTCTTTGTAAGATGTAACTGTTTGCAGGCCCTTTATGTTGGTGAATCCTTATTAGTGGTCAAAATTAGATTTATTTTCTGGCAATCTTCATTATCATAGGAGGATAGTCTCAAAAGTATATTATCTCCATTTTCGAAATAGCTGTTGCTGTTTTATTCTTTGGGATAACTGGCGTCTCACTTGTTTCATTTTATGGTCAGAGCCTGAAACTTTCTACTTGCATATACTTGTTGCTGAGTCTGCAATAGCAAAATTCTTGCAAAGATGTGGTGGTTCTCTATAGAACTGAACTGTCTATTTTAAGAAAAACACTTGGGGAGAGCCTGGGTGGCTCAGTCGATTAGACGTCCGACTTCGGCTAAGGTCATGATCTCACGGTTCGTGGGTTTGAGCCCCCGGGTCGGGTTCTGTGCTGATAGCTCAGAGCCTGGAACATGTTTCAGATTCTGTATCTCCCTCTCTCTCTGGCCCTCCCCTTCTCTCTCTCTCTCTCTCTCTCAGAAATAAATTTAAAAAAGAAAAAGAAAAAGAAAAACACTCGGGAATTTTTGACACTCTAACCTCCAAGGTAGCTAGCCAGCTGGTCTTCATCTCAAATGTGTAGCCAAGGTTCAGCCATTCCAGTAAAAGAGCTTACAAGACTCTTAATAAAATTGACATAAAGTCATATATATTTGACTGCAAAACCTATCAAAGTGTTCATAAGGAACAGGAGTTTGCTTTGGGATTTTGTTCATTCTTTGTTCTTATCCATCCTCAGAAGCTGGTGTCAGTTTCTTTCGGGTGTAGCAATGCGTCTCATTTTTAGTACCAAGTGGGCTGACCCTGTTTCAATATTGCCTCTCTGACAATCCCACAAGGAACATGTTTAGCGATTTAATACTGGTCTTTTTCTTTCTGATCTCCTCTCCTTAAAACTGATTACTATGAAGAGTGGCATGCCTCACTAAAACAAGATTCTTTCTTTTCCCCCTGTTCCAGGGAGCCTTTGCCTACATAGTCAATTATTTCATGTATGTCCTCTGGGCTCTCCTATTTGCCTTCCTTGCTGTGTCTCTTGTCAAGGTATTTGCGCCTTATGCCTGCGGCTCTGGAATTCCTGAGGTGAGTCTCTCAAGTGGTTTATAAATGGTGACAATAATGATTCCTTCCCAGTTAAAAGCCTTTAATATGTATTCCAGCATATACCACAATTTGAACATGAAACAGGATCAGACCCTGAGGAAATCTAGAGCCTTTCAAGGTCTTTCCTCAAGTCTTCTTTCAGCCTGAGCCATCTGGACACTAAAGGGAGTTGATTCCTATCCCCCCGTGGGTTCCTGGTGAACCAGGGTCCCAATATCCTGGCCTAAAACAGTAGTGATATTGTCAGTTTTGTTAGAGTCAGAGAAAGAAAACTATTTGCTTCATTTCCTACAGTATGATTCGGGTTAGGAGGAGGGTGGTTGAAATCCTGTTTCTAACTACTTTTGGTTTACATTGCTTGACAGTGACTGAAACCACTGATATTTGAGGTTGCCCAGATGATCTTGCCTCTCTCTGTTTGCTGACCAAGTCATAGTTACAAATTTCTTTGGCAGAGAATCAAGGCTATACTAGCCTGTAAGGATACAAGTAAGGAAAATACCCACCCTCCCTGCCTACCCTTCGCCATACACACAGACTCCCATGCTTGTATTCCCTTGCCCTGCTGGCACATGGCCAAAAAAAAAGAAAAAAGGAACATGAAATCTTAAAGAACAGTTCTCTCTTTTCTGGGCTCCTAGGCTCCCTATCAAATTGGGGTCATTGTAGGTCAAACATTTATAGGTCACTTGTTCGAAAGGTACAGTTTCTATATGAGGTCCATATTATTGCTTCCCAGCCTTGCTTATTTGCTTAGTCTCTATTCAATCTCTCTGTGTTTGGTCCACAGATAAAAACTATCTTGAGTGGTTTTATTATTAGGGGCTATTTGGGTAAGTGGACCCTAATTATCAAAACCATCACGTTGGTGCTGGCCGTGTCATCTGGCCTGAGCCTGGGCAAAGAGGGCCCCCTAGTGCACGTGGCTTGCTGCTGTGGGAACATTCTGTGCCACTGCTTCAACAAATACAGGAAGAATGAAGCTAAGCGCAGAGAGGTAAGAACAGGTGGCCCAAATAGTCTCTTTGTTCGTGAGAGCATAAATGGTACAGTATTAGGGATAAGAATTTGGGGATTCTCCCAGTGTTAACACAGACACCCTTTGACCCAGCAGCTTCACTTCTAGGAATTTATCCTGCAGACATCCTACTCTGTGTGTACACAAAGGTATGCGTTTGGGGATAGTCCGTGTGCAACATTTGTCAATATTGTGAGAAAATGATACCATCACAATGTCCATCAACGGGACTGATTTGAATAAACAAATTCTGTCCATGCTGTAGCATACTATGCAATCGTTAAAAAAAAAAAAAGAGTACATTGACATGGATTGATGACTATAAAATATTCAGTTTCAAAAGCCAATTTTGGAACAACGTGTACATATAATGATTCCATTAATGTTTTTCTAATTATGTAAATATGCACCTAGAAAGAAAATGTCTGAAAAGTGGTTTTACTCCAAACTGTTAAACATGTCTTCCTGGGGTGAGTGGGGAAGTGAGGTGTTAGAGAAGGATTTTAACTATAATAACTTTCATTACGTGTAACTGTACAAGTGTGTGCTGTTTCTATTACAAAATAAGTTATAAAAATAATAGATTTTTAAGAGCAGTCATTTATTCCTGTGAATGAATATGCACTCAGCGTGTGTTTCAAATGCCAGCCTTTTCATCTTTTATTTCTACCTACTGCCACACTGAATGAGTTTCTCTATGTATTGGCGCTCTCTCTGCCTTTTGTGTCAGTCTCGCCAGAGTAATTTTGTCACAGCATCTCTGTAGCGGTTCTCATGTTTATGCAGTTGCTAACATATATCATTTTGAGGAGGAAGGACAGTTTTTAAAAATGTTCCAAGTCGTTGGTTACTTTTACCCTGCTATAATGAAGGATTTGAGAAAATAATGGTTCTTGCTCTGTTTTCCTTGAATTACAAAGAAATCACATATGAAATGGGTCAAGTCCAAGTTCATTTCATTAGAAAGGAGTTTTCACAAAATGGGAACCTAGTGATTTATTCTGAAAACCAAAGAAAACAAAATAAACCATAAGGCCCAGAAGGAAACTCAAAAATGTTGAAATTTCAAATATGGAATACATTTTGATAGTTCAAGGGGGAAAGTTCTTGGCAGGAGAGGAAGGCTAGCAGAAGAGAGAGAAAGAGAGGGAAAGGGAAATCTGAGAGGTTGTTTAGCTGCCTGTCAAATGGTAAAGGAGCATAAAGGCAGTATTAAATTTGTGAGGTTGTTAGATGGAAATAATGCGGAACAGAAGCTAAAGAGATGGGAAAAAAAAACATTTTAACTGGCAAGAGTAAAATGTTGATTGTTGCTGGTTTTGCCTGGGCAGGGGTGACTTTGGAACTACAGATTGCTGGTTACTTTCATTTCATAAAATCGGCATTTCTGTTCAAGTAGTTCTTTACAGAATGAGAAGGGAGTTTGGGCTGTTTCTCTGTACAGATGTCACTTATTCCTCTAACTAGACTCAAGAATCTTTGCATCTTGAGTTCACTTCCTATTGTTCATTTTAGACTTTCCAGTTATTTTCTTCCTGTTGTTCTCACCATCAGCAGCCACTCTTTTGTGTCCTGGGGCCTTGTCAAAGTGGGCAAATGCTTGAGAGTACAATAGGGACTTGAGAAGAAAGGGGATGGACAGACTCCACTCAGTCAACAGCAACAACAAAAAATTGAAGCAAACTAGCCACCATGATTCTTTCTTTCTCCTCATAATTCACCCCAGACAGTCACGGAAACGCTTTTGATGAAAGCCAGTATATAGCTATGGATTTTGAAGTCTCCCAAGTTAGCACCATTTAGCACTCCCTCCTTCCTCCCCTTCATTTTCCTGCACCATCCTGCCCAGAGAAACCTGCCTATTAATTTTGCCAAGAACTATTTTATTCTTCGAAAAACTATTTGTATTTAACTTTCTTTTTTTAATGTTTATTTATTTATTTTGAGAGAGAGAAAACACGCATGAGTGGGGAATGGGCAGAGAGAGGGAGAAAGAGAGGATCTGAAGCAGGCCCTGTGCAGTCAGCACACAGAGCCAGGTGTGGGGCTCAATCTCATGAACCATGAGATCACGACCTGAGCCTAAATCAAGAGTCAGACGCTTAACTGACTGAGCCACCCAGACACCCCTAAAACTTTCTTTTTAAAAATATTTCCTTACTATCGCAAATCACTTATCACCCCACAGCAGCCAGAATTTAAAGAAAAGACTTAATCCTCCCATTAATTCAGTGTGTTTCTCATGCACATTTTACATGCACATGCATATGCCTACCTACAAAAGCAGGGCTAAGTATATCACTTGCTCTCTTTCTCTGTCTCCTTGTCCCTTTTTATTTCCTCTGACATCTTCTTCCCCTTCCTCTTCCTGTCCCACCTAGCCCTTTTCCTTGCCACACCGAAACACACATAGGTCTTCTCTTCAAAATCTATCCCCTTGCTTCTAGTTGCTTCCCTATTTGTTTCCATAGGTCACTCGGTATGGAGCAGGGCATATAGTACAGAAAACCCCAGCTACCCATCATATGAATATTTGTAGCTCCTGAATAGATGTGAGCCAACTGTTGCTTCAGTTTTGTATCATTACAGGCTTCTCTAAACTCTCATTTAATAAGCATTCCTTAACAGAGAGTGCTGTGTAAATACGTCACTGAAAATACTTCATTTAGGTGATTCCTAGGTCTACAAACTCAAATTCCATTAGTGAATGGAGAATATTGGGGCTGGGGGGCATGATGTGGAATAAAGTACATGACTGAATTAATTACAGAGGAGAGACCCTTTGCCCATCCAAGCATTTGAACCATGTGTTCAAAATTTAGCATGCAGTGTTTGTTCTCAAAATAAATAAATATAAATTGAACTTGATTTTTGATAAACTGGATACAGAGCATGTAAAGTTTTAAAAAACAAGTTTAGCAATCACTAACGTTCCTTTTAAACATGTGATTGACAGCAGCAAGGTGGCGTTATTTCTGTCACTAATTTTGAGTTTCGGATTGTAGGTCTTGTCAGCTGCAGCAGCAGCTGGTGTATCCGTAGCCTTTGGGGCACCGATTGGCGGAGTATTATTCAGCCTAGAAGAGGTAACTGCTTTTAACTGTAGAATGTGATGTTGCTTTTGGGTCAGGAATTCTGGCCAGTGTGTGTGTATGGTGCAGTCCCAAAGTGCTCTGCTCAACTCCGTGTTTTACCATGTGACTGGAGATCTCTGGGCAGTTTTTTTTTTGTTTTTTGTTTTGTTTTGTTTTGTTTTGTTTTGTTTTGTCCTGAGCTCTCATTCCTGCAGCACCAGCTTATCACCTGGAACTGTGTCTGCATACTGCTCTAAGTTTGCTTTCCCACCTTCTTTCTTACAGGTCAGCTACTATTTCCCCCTCAAAACGTTGTGGCGTTCATTCTTTGCTGCCTTGGTGGCAGCATTTACTCTACGTTCCATCAATCCCTTTGGGAACAGCCGCCTGGTTCTGTTTTATGTGGAGTTTCACACCCCATGGCATCTCTTTGAGCTTGTGCCGTTCATTCTGCTGGGCATATTTGGTGGTCTGTGGGGAGCTTTGTTTATCCGCACCAACATCGCCTGGTGTCGGAAGCGTAAGACCACTCAGTTGGGCAAGTATCCTGTCATAGAGGTACTCGTTGTGACAGCCATCACTGCCATCCTGGCTTTCCCCAATGAATATACCCGCATGAGCACAAGTGAGCTCATTTCTGAGCTGTTTAATGACTGTGGCCTTCTGGACTCCTCCAAGCTCTGTGACTATGAGAACCGTTTCAACACAAGCAAGGGGGGTGAACTGCCCGACAGACCGGCTGGTGTGGGAGTCTACAGTGCCATGTGGCAGCTGGCCTTGACACTCATACTGAAAATTGTCATCACTATATTCACCTTTGGCATGAAGGTGAGGAGATTCTTTTGATGCTCGGTGGATATATGTGTGGCTGTGGCTTGGGGGTTAAAGCCAAGATATCATAAAATCTTCAAAGCTCCTGTGACACTTCCAACCCCATGCAACATTATCCCCCACCCCCAAAAGCCCTTTTTGCCCCTACATGTCCTCCTAACTTCCTAGAGAATTGAACTGTATCTAAAATTATCCAAGCCTAGTTTTAGGCCAAATGCACACCTCAATGATGATATGTAAATAGGAATATTTTCTCTTTTTTCCACGGAACACATATTTTGCCCCTCAGAAAGGATGGTGAGGTACTTATTCACATGCATTTTGTATTAAAACAATATCTGCCCAACACATTTTTGGTCCTTATAGGGTGGCTTTAGAGTTTGCCAATAAAGCAAAATATTAAGTTGAACCAAACAAAGTAGCCTATACTCAACCATTTTGACCACTAAAATAGCAATCTTATCAGGTTCGGCCTGATGTATAGCTAAATGTATTCTTTACAGTCGTTATCAGTGCCCAAGTATCGAGAACTTCACAGGTGATCCAAATTAATATTGAAACTGTCAACAGCAGACATTAGGCCAGAATCTCTTATTTTCAGTACCTGTTATCGTTTCCATGTTTCAGAAGAAACCAGAAAGGAACATGGAACATTTGTTAAGGTATTTCCCTCCTCCTTCCTGATTATTTGTTTGTCTTTCGTTAGCACCCAACTACCGAGAGTTATTCACCTCTGTTCAAACCAGACAGTGAGACACAGTGCTCAGTTTACGCAATGCTAGAACCTCTGAATGGACATGCATCTTCCTAACACCCTGGAAAGTCTTGTGGCACTTCTTGAGTTGTTGTTGTTGTTGTTGTTATTATTATTATTTTTACCTCATGGCTTCCTTCTTTCATTTAAAGCGAACAGTCAGACCATCAAACCCACCCAGATTCAAATGCATTCAAAAATCAAACATAAGCTATTTAAAAACAATCTGCTGTTTCAGTGAGTTTGCCCTTGTCCTAATTTCCTTCCCTTAACACAGTAAATTGAGAATTCACTGTAGTATCCTAGGAGTCAAGAAATTGAGCAGGAGAAGGATGAGAGGGGTGTTTTGTTGTTGTTGGTTTTTTGTTTGGGTAGTCATGCAAACCATTTTTACTACCTCATTCTTAAAATGTAATCATTTCGTCTTTATACCGTTACAAAATAAAATGAAACCTTACATGTACCATCCTTTTCATGTGAGCAATGGGTTAAGATTCAATACATGAGAGTGGTTTTAAGCATTGCATTTAAACCCCAGCACCAGTATTTACTGTATCTTGACCTTGGATGTGTTACTTAGCCTCTCTGAACCTTAAGTTCTTTGCGATTTGGGAATAATAACGCCTATCTCCAGGGGTGGAAGTAAAGAACTGAGGAAATCTTGTTAGTGGAGTATCCAGCATAGAACATGGAAGATAGTCAATTGTTGTTAAGAATTCAGCATTGGGGAAAATGTCTGCATATATGAGAAACTCCATCTATTTTCCTTTTTCTTTGGGAAAGGCTTAATTTCTGCCTCCAGTTCTGTGTTGGTCTGGAGAGTTCAGGCTCTGGCCTGATGGACCCCAAATCAGGGTAAGCTTCTTTGCAGTCGTACTTGCCTGCACGTCCCAGAGACCTCTAGCCCCCGTAGCATTACACAAATCTTTACGGCCACTTGCTAGCATAGTGCATAGTTAAATTGTCATTGGCCTGTTTGCTTTGCAGAGGGTCAGTTATCTAGCCCTTACCACGTGCCAGGCAAGTGCATCATTTCTCACTAACCATCTGTTGCTTTCTCTTTGCAGATCCCGTCTGGCCTGTTTATCCCCAGCATGGCTGTTGGTGCTATAGCAGGCCGACTTTTAGGAGTAGGAATGGAGCAGCTGGCTTATTACCACCATGATTGGGCCATCTTCAATAGCTGGTGTAGTCAAGGAGCAGATTGCATCACCCCTGGCCTTTATGCGATGGTTGGGGCTGCAGCCTGCTTAGGTGAGTAGTGTTTGCATTGATTTTAAAGAAGTTGCGGGGCGCCTGGGTGGCTTAGTCGGTTAAGCGTCCAACTTTCGCTTAGGTCATGATCTCACGGTTCGTGGGTTCGAGCCCCGCGTCGGGCTCTGTGCTGACTGCCAGCTCAGAGCCTGGAGCCTGTTTCAGTCTGTGACTCCCTCTCTCTCTGACCCTCCCCTGCTCACGCTGTCTCTCTCTCTCTCTCCTAGAAATTAAAAAAAAAAAGTTGCCACACAGGTGACAGAATAAGAAAGTGTGATATTAAACAGAGTCGACTACAGATTTTGAGAGAGCAAGCAAGCACACATGAGCAAGGGAGAGACAGGAGAGAGAGAGAGAGAGAGAGAGAGAGAGAGAGAGAGAAAATCTTAAGCAGGCTCCACGCTCAGCACAGAACCTGATGCAAGGCTCCAGAGGTCGTGAGATCATGACCTGAGTGGGAATCAAAAAAGTCAGGTGCTCAACCGACTGAGGTTGCCCCTGCAGGTTTTTTTTTTTTTTAATGAGCATCCGTTTCCTGTTGGGTTTGCAATTTTTCAAGTGCTTTAAGAAAGTATTCTTTATCCTATAGCTATATTCCTCCCTCTTGAGAATAATTTTGCTCTCAAATTTCATCCTACTAACAAAATTACCAGGAATTTGGATAAGGATATCTGCCCAAGAATGTTCATCACCGTATTATTTATGATAGCAGCAATAAATTGGAATCAACTTAAATATGCACCATAAGGGACTGGTTAAATAAATTATGGTGAATCCATATAATGTTATACTATGTAGCCATTGAATGTGATGCTAATATTTAACATCTCTAAATCCAATGTTAAATGAATTTGTAATAATATATGAAATGTTCCTGACATAAAGTGGGGGGAGGGGTAGCATGGTGGGGAGTTAAACATATAATATGAGCCCACTTACATACAAACATATATTTTTGCCTAGCGAAAAACTTGAGAAAAAGTCATTCCAAATTTTTACTCTGCTTATTTCTAGGCCGTGAACTTATGAATAATGGCTTTCTTTTCTATACTTAAAAAATGTTTTCTGAAATTTCCACTATGGCCTGTACATTCCAGAGAACCTATAGTTCCAGCAGTGTTATACCAATTGTGGGTATCTTTTGCAATTACTTTTATAATTAGGGGAGAGAAAGCAGCACACAAATAAGAAACAAAAGAAGAAAAATCCAGACAGCATCTGGTGCTTTTATAGATATTATTCTGAGAATTCTGACTCACATCCATTATAAACTTACTTAAATGTAGCTGCTGGGGTCTGTGCAGTTATAAGCGAGACCTCCTTTTAGCAATGCTTCTGGTAAGTAGCCTTTGCCTGGATGGGCGCCTGTCACATGCCCTTAATTGTAATGAGTCTGGACTTCTGTTTTCAGTAGCCTGTATCTGTTTCCTTACAGGTGGGGTGACTCGGATGACTGTTTCTCTTGTTGTCATAATGTTTGAACTAACTGGTGGCTTGGAATACATTGTGCCTCTGATGGCTGCAGCCATGACAAGCAAATGGGTGGCAGATGCTCTGGGGCGGGAGGGCATCTATGATGCCCACATTCGTCTCAATGGTTACCCCTTTCTTGAAGCCAAAGAAGAGTTTGCTCATAAAACTCTGGCAATGGATGTGATGAAACCCCGGAGAAATGATCCTTTATTGACTGTCCTTACTCAGGACAGTATGACTGTGGAAGATATAGAGACTATCATCAGTGAAACCACTTACAGTGGCTTCCCAGTGGTGGTGTCTCGGGAATCCCAAAGACTTGTGGGTTTCGTCCTCCGAAGAGATCTCATCATTTCAATCGGTAAGGATTTCAGAAACGGGATAATGTAATCCACTATGGAAATAAAATAAATATGTGCAAAATGGGGGAGGAAATAAAATAAATATGTGCAAAATGGGGGAGGACGGGACCAATGAGGGGCCAGAAGGATAGAACTGGCACTTCTATTTTCAACTTCTTTTTTCCTACCTCTCAAATAGAAAATGCTCGCAAAAAACAGGATGGAGTTGTGAGCACTTCCATCATTTATTTCACTGAGCATTCTCCTCCAATGCCACCATACACACCACCCACCCTAAAGCTTCGGAATATCCTGGATCTCAGCCCCTTCACTGTGACTGACCTTACACCCATGGAGATTGTAGTGGATATCTTCCGCAAGTTGGGACTGCGGCAGTGCTTGGTTACGCATAATGGGTGAGAGCTCTTTGGTGAAGGCAAATTGGATTGTGGGAGGATAGAGTGTAGAGAGATAAAGAAGAACCCAATTCATCTGAACATTAGTAGTACGTATAGGGCCTTTTGAAGCTCCGAGATGAAGATAGATGTATTTCTTTTATTGTCATGATTAATGGAAAAGGAGTTTGGGGATGAAAGTGTGCTTGAGAGATGTGAACTGCTAGCTGCACATTATAAATAACATGGTCCCTCCCCTACAAAGGAAACAGTTGTGTCCTTTTGAAGAGACAGCACTGAAATTATAATGGTATTAGGTATTATACGTATAGTATTTGGTCCTCATAATAACTGTGTTTTTATCATTGGAGGATGAGAAAGCCAAGTTTCAGTGAGGTTTAGAGATTTACAGAAGGGCTCCCAATCAGTATATAGTAGAGAGGGGCTTTAAACACAACTCTTCTGACTCCCAAGGCCAAAGCTCTTTCTTTCAAGGATATTTCTTATGCAGTTAAGGAAGCCCTGCTATTTTTATTGGAAAAGAAGGGAGGTTGAGGAGAAAGGTGGATTTTTTTTCTAAACATGGTATGCTAATCCAGCAATTATGTAAGAATTTCACTCTCTAAAATTTCTAAATGTTGTAACAGATGTCTTGCAGGATTGAAATCAGCAAGGGGACTTTCCCTAACTGATTCATTCAACATTTACTGAATCCCCAACTTCATGCCAGGAGGTATTCCACTAGACTCCACAGAGACACAAACATGAATAAGGCCCTTCTCTACCCTCAAGGAGTGTGCAATGTCACAGGGAACCTAAGGACACAGGAGCACGCATTCCACAACAGCAAACAAGAAAAGTGTGCAGATCATGCAATTGCTGTAAGGGGGTCATGGCCATTGCTGGCCTGTAGGATCAGGAAGGGGTTCTGGAAGAGCAGCGTTTGAACTAGGTGGCAGAACATAAGATTCAGATATGTAGGGAATATTTAAAGCAGAGGAAATAGCAAGGTGTGAGACATGATGCAGAAATGCCTGCAGCTCATTTAGGGACCCACACACCGTCCCATTTGCCTGGCATGCATAACACTGTAAGTGCAGTTAGTGTTTAAAGACAAAGTTGGAAAGGCCTGAGGAGGAAAAGTGTCACCATTGAGAACGTTAGCTACCAATTTATTTTTGTTTTGTTGCCTTGTTTTGTCTTTTAGGCGATTGCTTGGAATCATTACCAAAAAGGATGTGCTAAAGCATATAGCACAGATGGCGAACCAAGATCCTGACTCCATTCTCTTCAACTAGAATCACAGGGTTGTGCTGGATATAAAACAGGAAGGACATTGCAGACCATGGACGTATTTTATTAACTGGGTACCCAAAACACATTTCCCATATTTGGATGGTGAAGTTATATTAGTGTATTGTCTATTTCCTATAAGTTAACCAGTTGCACTACATAATCTCTGGAATTTAATCTTCTCTTTAGTAGAAAATACAGTTAGGCTTCTGTGATATTGCATTAGAAAAATTTCATGAGAGAGTAAGCAAGATTGCTAGGTTTTAATTCTTTAAATTTTTTTTTAGTTTAAAACATAATTGTTAGACAATATGCAATCACTGAAAACTATGCAATAAAAATTCCAACCGTCCTGACCTTTGGCCTGCAGAAAACTCATGACCAAGTCACTTTTTTTGACTCTAACTGTCATTGGTGGAAGATGAAGTGTAAACTAAGGGGCTTTGCTTTTCTGAACACAGAAAGGAAAGCCAGAAGGAAAATAGTAATGCTGTTTTCCAGACTGTGAAAATTCAATTCAAATGTTATCCTGTTCCTGTTACAATATTTAGCATTATTAGTTTGTGTGTGTATATATGTATGTTAATTTTAATATCTGATTATAAGACAATGCTGCTTTGGTTAACCAACTCTAAATGAATTTAGAGAGGTTGACTTTTATAGCTTGCTTGTTCCTGGTACTCTTTTGAAGTGCACAAAGATAAGTTATGGAACTTTCTCCTTGTCTGCCAAAGGGTGATTTTCCAGATAGTATTTGTTGGCCAGTAGACAAGGACTTTGCCGTGAATTTGTTAGTAACAAGGAATGATTTCTCCAGCTTCCTTGAAAAGAATGATTAGTAAAGTTCTAAGCAGAGTCAGTGACTAGGAATTTCACATTTTTTGTGAGGTCCCAACTAATTCTCTTACCCAGATGCCACCTCCATGAGTGATGGTGCTTTAGGCTTCTGGAATATGTAAGAATAGTAAAGGGAACCAAATCTGGACTGCATACTGATAAACCAGGGAAGTTCCTGAGCTCTATCTGCATTCTCATGCATTCCTTCGTAAAGACCACCAGTACTAAAATAACTGGGCACTCATGCCTCCTCCCAGTGTTAAGTACATATAACAGGCCAGTTGTTGTCCCTGTGAACATGAATTTAGGCTTGGGGTACTTTCAAATCCATTTGAGGCATTGGAATAGGATAGGCAGCTGTGACTCCCTTGGGGCTCCTTAGAATTCTAAATAAAAGGCAGAACCATCCTAAGACCCAGGGGTGTGGACAAGGCCTGGTGACACCAAAGGTGCTTGTATCCAATTGAAAAGGTGCCTGTCTCAATTTTCTACCACGTTTACTGCAGTAGAAAAACATCACACTGTAGGGACACCCGGTTGAGTCACAGAGCCACCACCATCATTCCAACACCGGTTTCATTTTCTGTTGTTTTCCCCATGTGCAGCTGGTCCCTCTTGTTCCCCTCCATTCTTTTCCTCTCCCTCTCCTCAGTCCTGAGTACTGTCTTTGGGACTGAGCGCCATGCCTGGTTAATCATTCCGATTTCAAAAAATAACCCCCAGGGCTAGTTAAATTGTAAACCAGGGCTCAGCAATCTTAGGGCACACAGACCAGAGGGAACACACAGCCATTTGCTTTGCTCTGTAGCCCAGTTGCTGCCTCTGCACCTGCCTCCCTTCCTGTGCCCATGCCCACCTCAGCAAGACTTAACTGCCAGGGCTGCAGAGTTCAGCCTTTCCTGTTTGACAAGTCTGTTAACCCCGCCCCCCCCACCCCCCACCTTACACTACCCTTCCAGCCTAGAACCAGCAGTCACTAGGCATATCCTCCCCCACCCCCCTCCGTCTCTCCCAACACCTCAGGGTTCCTCATTTTAAAAGTTTCTGAGCCCTGAATCTAGGATTCCTTCCTTCCTTCCTTCCTTTCGTTTGTTCGTTCATTCATTCTTTTGTTCTTTCGTTCTTTTGTACCTATCTTTCCAACATCTCAAATTCTTTTATTGCCTAGAACCGGGCAGCCAAAGCTTTTATTGATTTTTATCTTTCAAATATCAAGGCAGTTGCCAGAGTTTCTTTTTTTAAAGTATATCACTCTAACATTTTAATTAAAGAAAAAACTCCCTAGGTTATATTCTATTATAGTCATGACTCAGTCACTTTACATCTTTTCTCCCTTCTGTGCCACTGATTTCCTCATATGAGATGAGGCTATGTGCCAGACCACCCCTGTGTATTGCATAGAAGTCATTCTTATCTGTATATTTCTAGTTCACTACCTGTCTTATTAGCCGTCCAGCTAGTTTGCAAAACAGGAAGCGTTAGTATTTCTGGTATTTGATGACAGTGAAAAGTTTGGTCTCCTTTCATAGGGCAGCAGCGATATGGAGGGTGCCTAAGTTTGCCTTTGTGTTTCTTTTAGGCTCTGTTTTTGATTCTAGACAGATGAGCCAGTGTTAAGGTGCTACTTCAGAGAATTAATTCAAGAAATCAGATAACACTGTGCCAGGGTATACTTTCTAGATGCTAAGCACCAATTGGCCCTCCAGAGAATAATATCCTTTTGATACCTCACTCCTGATAAATCTCATCCATTAACCTCAGGAATCCTTATAACACATATGCTAGAAGTAGCTATAGTGTATGGTATTCATTATATGTCCAATCCTATGGTTTGGCTCAAAGGTTGGCTAATTGTGGCTAGAGCTCTCCTCTAGACTGCTAGCTCAGCACCTTAACACTCAAGAGTTTCTTGTCGTAAGGCGAAGGAAAATGTTCTTTCTTCCATCGCTAATTCAACACTTGGACATACTTAACCAACAAACAAAGCTGATACAATGAGATCTGTCAGTCGCCTCAAATGGCCACATACCTCAATGGTAAAAGACTAGATAATCTGTGATTGGCAAATTAATTTGGGTTGAGACTAGTCTGTTATGTCATTAAGAAAAGAAAATTTCCCAACGCAAGGGAAGGAGCTACAAAAGAACTCCAATAAATGCTTCAAGAGAGTTAGGATTTTCCAAGGGAAACTATGTGGTAGACATCCAGCCATGAAAAGAGTGGGAGTCTACAGGTCTGTTAAAAGTCTAGCTGGTATATTTTGTATAGTCGGGTCTTCATTGTAAAGAATTAAAGAAGCCAAAACAGTTAATGCATGGTTATACCATTGGATGGGAAGAAGCAAGGGACTGAAAATGCAAACCAATGTCCACTTTCAATCAAGATCATTTCTATTTGGATGTTTGTTCAGACAGCCTCTTTTCTGGCCCCAGCTTCCTGCTGGTTCAGGTCAGCTGTTGAGTGGAGGTGGTATAGTCCACGGAACTGATAGCCTCTGGTGGATAATCTAACATTGATGACACTTTGGATTTGCCAGCTGGTAGAGCAAACAATCAATTCGCCAAATGAACAGGAAAGCAGTTAAGTTGTTTTGGCACCAGAGGCTGAAACCAAACCCCTTGCAGGAAGAGCCAATCACAGTCTAAATTTCTCTAGCAAATCTCCAGTTCTGTTTGAACATGAGAAAGATAAAGTAATGGGAATTTAATGTGGTCTAAGGCTGTGAAGTAACTCTGAATCATGATGTTATAAGCTCTTTCAAGTGTGGAGGGAGCAAGTCTGTTTTTAAAAACTCATCATGCAGTAGAGTCCGTCATGCAAAGTAATCATGGCATGTTACATTATAGGTTTTAAGTATTTGAATCGCCTGTCTTGGTTGAGTCTCGATCTTGGTTTGTGTTGTGACATGATGAACATGAAGGTGAACTTGTTACCCCACTGTGTCTTTTGTTTTTATTTTTGTTTTCTTAATCACAAGGGGTGCAGCTTTTGAAGTTGAGTTTTTAATGAAGATAGTGAAGACAATATTGAGAATATGAAACAGCCAGTGTGTTTTACATTGCCAGAGTACTTACTGATGACTGGCCATGTTGCCAGCCATCAGTTCAGAAAAGCAGGAGAACATTTTTCAGGGTGATGCACAGCAAATTGAGCTCGAGAAAACCCTGAGAAAAAATAGAAATTTAGAAAGTATATGGGAAGTAGGATACTCAGTCCTTAAAAAAATAGATGTCTAAATATGTGGTCTGAACTTCAGCGTCCATCAACCTTGATTTTTTTTAAACCACCTCTGGGTTTGCCTGGATTCTCTTTGGAGAGAGAATTAAAAGATGTGGCAGTGGAAAAGCCCCAGTGAGAAAATATATGAGTTCTTGCAAGATGGTGGGAGGAAGGCCGTGCTGTGCCCCACGCCAGACATCCTAGAATTTATAACTACTCCATCATGTGCCTCAGGTAGAGAAAAAGTCAAGTGGTCTTTCAAAGACTGGGTTTTCCAAGTTGGGGACAGGCTCAAAGCAACATTTATCTGGTGGCAGTCGACTTTTATGGAGAAGACTGACCTATAACATCTGCTCACAAAGGAGGGCAACGTCTACTGCCATTGCCTAAATGATAAGCTTTAGGTAGATTGTCTTGAATTTTGATAGCAAAATATTTTTTTAAGTCTCTATTTTAGTCTTCATAGAAAGTATTTATTGTGTATGAAAAAGAAAAACGTGAAGGTTTCTCAGATCAGAGCTCAGGGAGCTGTGTCAATTTGCAGTGAAATTAATGTAATGGACCTGTGACAACCATTCAGTTTTGCTCTGCCTCAATTTCAGTTGTGTGCTCCAAGGAGAGAAGTTCTTGGAACAGCAGGTGTTTAGCAACTTCACATTATTCCACAGATGTTTGCTGGCTGCAGTCTCACTTCTAAACATCTGGATCTGTGCAAAGTTTTGAAGTGATGTAGGAAACAAAGTTGGTTTTTTCCACCGTATAGTCCATTTTTTGCCGAATTGCCCAAGAAAGAAAGTATACGATGTGCAGAGTTTGCATTTCTTGGATGGGACCTATCAGGTCACCTTGCCTAATCCCACAGTCATAAATTCCTACCTCTCAGTTCCAGCCAAAGGGTCTTCAGCCTCTGTGGGCACTCATTGAATGAATGCCTTGCCCAAAGTTTGGCCTTTTTAAAAGGAGAAACAGCATATAATGTTTTTTTAAAAATGATCTCTGCCTCTCCTTCTCGCTCCTCTCCCTCCCCCCATTTATTTCCTGTCAGCCCCAAATTCACATTTTTCTCAGTTGTTCACAAGTGTGCTGTTTTGAATGTGAACCTTGGGGAACAGACAGCATCGCTCTGAGAATAGAGAATGGAAGATGCTTCTGAGTTTGTGGGCCAAATGGCTTTGCGCCACTGTAGGGGCCAAATGGCTTTGCGCCACTGTAGAGGCCAAAGCCCGTGGTATTTGTTGAGAGTGTTGAGGGCTTTAGCATCTCAAGGCAGATGTATGAAGTAGTCATTGCTAAACCGTATCATCTACTCATCCAAATCTGTTGAAAGTCAGTGGCAGCCAAAGATTTGGTGAGTGAAATGCAATCTGGCAAAATGGGGACGAGGGAGTGGCCTAAGATGGTTTTATTAGGGTGGGAATGTTCAGTCTCATTATCATATTGAGTGTACCTCAAAATACACGGTCCTTCAAGAGTGCTCATTTTCCATTCTCGATTTCACTTTATCCTTTTTCCTCCCTCCTTTCTCTCCCATTGCCCCGCCTTTTTAGTACTCAACTTTTTAATAAGTATTTACATTTTTATTGTATATTTGGTCCTTTAGGACTATGTAATGGTTAAGAATTAATTTCATTCTAGATTTTTAAAAATGATGTGTTTAATATTTTGTTCTTTTAAACTGTCTTTTGAAGCTATGCTGCTAACCAGGTACAGGCCAGAAAGGAGTTCAGCCTGACAGACAGCACCCTGGTCATGTCACCTAAGGGTAACGTTGATGTCACAATGGTGACTCTTCTCTGTTTGACCAAGGCCAGCCTCCTGCTCTTGGCTCTGGGAAAAATACTACCCATTGGGTAAGCTGATGAGGCCAGGAGGATCAGAAAAGCCAGATTCCTGCCCGTGGGCCACATATAAATTCTCTGTAATACACTCATTTGTAGGGCCGGCTCCAAATGCAATAGCCAAAGAAAACCTGTCTGACTCGACATTTTAGTTCCTAAGTGTTGGTAAAAGTTCAACTGAAGATTATGTGTAGATATTGGCAGTAGCTAGGCATATACAGAAACCAGCATCAACCAAAGCTAATATAGCCCGAGTTTCCATAGGAAGCTTGGTGCTGAGCTGTTCAGAGCAATTATTTATTGGGAGTGTTGCCAAACCTTAAGTCATGCTTTCTTAGCTTTATTCTAGCTTATGGAGGTGTTGGTCCCCGTTCATAGATAGGCACAGCCGGTACCACAGCTGTGTTTTACTGCTCACTTCATTTTGCTCCTTGGTCATGCAAAGCAACATAGTCTAAAAAGGAAAACATGGGCTGGGAAGTTAGGAGACCTGGTTTCTATTCCTTATGCTTCTACTAACTAGCCTTGAGATCTTAACCGCTCTGTGCCTCAGTGTTCCCATCTGCAAAATGGGGATAGTGTTAATTGCCCTACCTACCTCACAGGGTTGTTGTGAGGATAAACTGAGACAATGAATGGAAAGTACTTTGACAAGTAAGTGCTATGCAAATTGTAAGAAATGGAAACAATCATGTTAAAGGCAATGGGATGGACATTGGCAGAAGGGTTAATGGGATTGTCCAGCCCTTTCTCTGTGTGGCATAAACTCGGGTCGCCATTGCTTTATACATTTTCACTTAGCACAGATTTGTAATTATGCATGTAATAAAGCACAGCCTTATCCAACCTGGTGTCTGGTGTGTTTTCGAAGACCCCAAGTTTTATACCTATTGATTTCTGATCACAGAAGCAAGGGGGCAAGGTTGAAGGAATTGGGAAAGATAGTATAAAAGGTACCTGCCAAGTCCTATGAGCAGGCTCACTTCTTAAAATGTTCCTTAGGGGGTGTCTGGGTGGCTCAGTCGGTTAAGCATCCAATTTCGGCCCAACTCATGATCTCATGGTCTGTGAGTTCAAGTCCCATGTCAGGCTCTGTGCTGACAGCTCAGAGCCTGGAGCCTGTTTCAGATTCTGTCTCCCTCTCTCTCTCTCTGCCCCTCCCCCACTTGCACTCTGCCTTTCTCTTTCAAAAAATAAACATTAATTTTTTTTAAATGATTCATTAGATAATTATTTTTACATTTACAGATTTAGTAGTACTTTTTACTCTAAGGGGACAAATGAGGGACAGCTTGCATTTTCTGAAAAATCCCAGATACCTCATTCATTATGGCTATTTAAACGTTCCTGTCTCATATGTTGGTGTACTTTCCTGATGACATGAGGATTAGTGGGGAGCTGTATTTTGTTTTCCTCTTTTTGAGCTTTTAATGATGTAAGATGGTGGGCTTTGACAGGCCTCTTGCCTACAGTCACTTCTTAGAAGTAGTAGGTTGGGTGATTGGGATGTTCCTCCAGTGAAAAGTAAGGTTCAGTACCCTCTTTATGGTATGTGGGGATTAAATGTTTTCTATGGGAAACCCTCTGAGGTGACCAAGGAGGGGGGCTTTGTGGGGAGGTGGTTGAATATGCAAACACTTCCTTTTCACACTTTTGTGGAGCACAGAAAACAAAGGAAAGCTGTACTCTGAAGTGTGGCTTTCCTACTTTCTCTATTTTCCTGCATCTGATTGCCGCTGCCCCCGCCCCCCCCCCACCCGCCTGTTTCTGTTAGCCAGACCGCTAATAAGGCAGTTTACCACATGTTCCAGTTTTTGTTTTAAGATTTCTCGCATTGATATTTGGCCACACCTGCACTGGTGTTGACTTGTTGCTACCAAGAACTTTAATGCTTTTGGCCTACTTGGTATCATTTCAGGAAGGCTACGTCTATATAAAGATAACTCCCTCATAAGCCTGAAGTTCCAAAAAGAAATTTGAGTTTCTGATGTTATTTATCGTTTTCTTGGACCCCTTCCACACATCACTATCCCTGCCTCTAATCTCAATACCTTTGGTTAAAAC